TCGACTCATGTAGTTTGTCCTCACAAGCCAAGTGCATGGTCAACTCAATTTTTTTTCATTAAGCTCATTTTTGTAAATATATAATATTTATATACGGAAAATGCAACAAATAAACTTAGACACCCTCCTCACTTTTGGTGAGGTTTGAATCCCTGACCTCCTAGGAGGATAAAGACTACATTACCTCTAGGCCAAAGGCCCTTTGGTTTCATTAAGCTCATTTGATTTGATCAAAAATTCATTTTGAGCACATTCAATCAGGTTTTTTTCAAATTTAAGCTCAGCTTCAAGTTCAAAGATTTGTTTCTTTAAAACAAATTTTTTCGTATCAGAATCAAATTCAAGATTTGAATGTATAACCCATTCCTGTTCAGTGATTTATTCATTATCATCAAAATCATATTTCACATCAATTTCAGATTCCGATTCTGACTCATTCATTAAGTTTCCAAAAACGTCCGAAGACATTTTATCAGTAAATGCAGAAAGTTCGTCATACTTTTACATTTTCTATTTTTGTGATTCAAAAACAGGTGTAGTTTCAGTTTTGAAAACTTCAGTGGGATACATATGTAACACTCCAAGATCCACATTTGCATATAACCATGTATTTCATATATCCACAAATACAATTAATACATATTTGGTCCCAATGGTACAAGAAACTATATTACAAAATTGATAACCAACAACTTGTTGAGGTTCAACATCATGTTGTTCGTCAGTGTCAACCATCATCTCATCTAGTGATTCTTGAATTTCTTCAAAATCTACTCTATTCCCTGTTGTGGTTCTTGCAGAAAATCATTTTCCAAGAACTCACTTTGTTACGCAAAAAATACTTTGTTCTCGTTGGGCTTGTAGAAATAATATCCAACTGTATCTTTTGGATGTCCACAAAGATGCACTTCTCAGACCTTGAGTCAAGCTTTTTTGAAGTTTTTTGCTTACATAAGCACCACAACCCCATATAAGATACTTTTTGGATCTTCCTAGTCTATAATTTATATGGTGTTTTATTGGTCTTTTGGTTGGTGCATTTATTTAGTATTCAGGCAGTTATTTTTAGGGCATATCCCTGGAGGCTTCTATGTATAGTGATATGACTCATCATAGAGCAAACCATGTCCCATAAGGTTCTATTCCTCCTTTTCAGACACACCATTGTGGTGTTCTTAGGTGAATTAGTTGGGATATTATCCCAAGATCTCTAAGATGATCAATTAAAGTCTTGGCTTACAATTTTGATCCAACCGAAATGCTTTTTTCAAGTTAATTTTCTACTTCATTCTAAAACTCTTTGAATATCTCAAAGCTTTTAGACTTAATTCTGATTAGGTAAACATACCTATATCTACTGAAGTCATCAGTAAAGATTATGAAGTAGCGATGATCATTTCTTGTGGCTGAAATAAAATAACCACATACATCAGTATGAATAACTCTTTTAGTTCTTTCGCGTTTGTTCTTTTAAAATATTTTTGTCATCTTTAAACAAGACTTACATGTATCATATGAATCATCACATGATTCCAAGACTCCGTCCGCTTGAAGTTTGGTAATGTGTGTCTTGTTTGTTTGTCATAAATAGGTTTGTTTTAAGCCTCACTTAATTTTTTTTATTGCAATCACAACTATTAATTTCATAAATACTATTGAGTGGTTTTGGCCATAAAATATAGAACATTGTTAAGGTAAATTGAAATTGACTTGTTATTGAAAGTAAACATAAATCCAGTTTGCTTTAATTGAGAAAATGAAACAATATTTCCTAGTAATACTAGGTACATAAAACACTTGCTAAGTGCTAATATAAGACCATTTGAAAGTTCCATCATATCTCTCTTAAGCAACAACAGCTAACTTAGCTCTGTTTGGCTCATCTTCTCTTCACTTCTTATTTCCTTAAAAATAGTATAAATATGAGTACCATACCCAACATCATATATTCAATAATAAGAGTCAAAAGTGAAAAAATCAATGATAAACATATATTAAGTTTCGACTTTGTTAGCCTTCAGCTTCTTGATCTCTGCTAATCGGGTTGGACAAGTTTTCTTCCGGTGTCCATCATGAAAACGATTGTACCAAACTGCATCCTTAGGAATCCTTCCTTTGCTCTTATATTTGTTGGAACTTCCAACCTTTCCTTTTTCTTAGGCTACCACCCTACTTTTCTTAACTATCCCACCTTTAGATTTGATCATCAGAACCTATTTTAGTTTGGTTAAATCCAATTTGAATTTTATATTTCTCTCAGCAGTTTTAAGCAAGTCATAAAGCTTTGTAAGATTTTTACCCAAATATTTCATATTGTAGTTCAAGCGAATTGACCGTATGATTTAGGTAGAGAATTGTGAACCAAATCAATTATCAATTCCTTTTTCATCGGGAAGCCAATACAAGCTAATCAGTCAATATAACCTTTCATTTTCAGAATGTGGGTACTAACAGACGAGCCCTCAATCATTTTACATGCAAGCATTACTCTGACTGTATCAAACCTCTCCTGCCTAGTTTGTAACTGAAACATTGACATCATTGAGGATATCATATCCCATGTAGTCATGTATTCATGATCCCGCAATAACTCAAGAACCATAGAGGCTAACATCATGCATCCAACTTCCAATGAGTCATTGACATACTTATCATAAGCAGCCCAGATTTCAGCTGAAGCAGATGTAACAGGGGTGTTTGGAGGAGGATTCTCTAGAACATATAACTTCTTATCATGCCTTAGAATGACCCTTAGGAAACAAAACAATTCGATGAAATTCGTCTCGTTCAGTTTTTCCTTATCAAGGATTGACCAATTGGGATAAGTTTGAAAAGTTCGTAGACATCTACAAAATTAAGTTCAATTTTAGTAACTTTAAAATCTCAAGTTAAATAATTAGCATTTCAAAAATATTTTAGTTTGAGCCAAGATCCATATTTCACAAATTTCCATAAATGGTTAATACGCTGTCTATCGAAATAGGTTATTTAGGTATGCATCATCCAATTATGTTCAATGTAACTCTTAGGTGATCATGGGTTGTTATTCAATATATCATATATCAAGATAGGTTTATATGCTCTCTAAAGGAATGAATCAATCAAAAATTGAATTGGGCTAACAACCTATTTATATGGACTACTATCATAGTCAGCCCATAACTCAAATAAAGTTTGATATTTATCTGTACATAATTATATAATTATTTAAAACATAATAATTATGCTTATTTACAGATAATACCCTATAATTATCATAATAACGTTTTAACAAATATTTTATAATTATTCTTCAAGAATAATCATTTAACTGTCAAACATGATTTCCATGTTACTTTCAAAAGGAAGCAAACATATTCTTTGCACGTGACCTTATAGGTTTGCATACTACTCAATAATATCCCTGTATGACACGTGTCCTAGGCATATAATAACTTACAATTACGTATAAATGCATATTTTTATTTTATGTTAAACGAAGTAAACTAGGACTACATCATCTATAGGTATTTAATTCGGTATCAAAACATTGCCACAAGTAAAAATAGTTTGTTTTGTTCGTATAATTTCTTTCTTTCTGTAAACCTAACTTTTGTAGTATCGTCATTAATTACGTCACATGTAATATCATTTTTATCATGTTTCACGTGCACCTTATATTTCACAAGATGCTCTACAAAGACAATGTCATCCACTCTAAAATCATGTTCACTATACAACTAATTCTAACAAACAAAATCAATATTAAGACATTATTAATATCTTGAAAATAAATCATTTATCAATATACATATTTTTTTAGTAAATGAAATAAAATGGTTGCATCTTAACTTTCTAATGTAATTTGTATCAATCAGTTTCATCACTACGCAACCCCAAGATCCCAACTAGTATTTTTTAAGTTAATTAAAACCTAAATAGTTTTACCATTCCTGAATCTTATGTCATTCAAACCCTTCGTACCCAACGACATCATTTCCCTTTGCCACCCCTCATCACCCTATCATTGTCCGTTTTTTACACAGCCCATTGCCGCTGTTAGCCCCATCATGGTTCCTTATCTTTTTGATCTTTTTTTTTCTTTTGATTATCCCGTTTTTACAACAATTCTACGAAGTAGGTATAGACTGATTAGAAAAATTGGGAGAATCGGAAAACAATAAAAAGGATAAAAAAGAGGGAGATCGATGACATATGCTAATGATGGTGATTAGGGTTGTAAACGAACCGAACGTTGAGCGAACCATTCATGAATCGTTCGGCAGGAAGTTAGTTTATTTAATAAATGAACGAACATGAACAATTTTTTTTTGTTCGTTTAGTTAAACGAACGAACATGAACAAGAGTCTTGTTCATTCATTTATGTTCGTAAACGTTCGTTCATTTATCGTTCGTTTATATTCGTTCGTTTATGTATTAAATTTAATATATAATCTTTTATTTATTTACTTTGAATTCAAATAATATTTATTTATGTTTGTTTAGCCCATTCGTTTATGTTCATTCGTTTAACATGTTAACGAACAAACATAAACGAACAAGAACACAAACACACCTGATTTCTAAACGAACGAACACAAACACAAACACAAACACAAAGATTTTCGTTCGTTTACCGTTCGTGTTCATTCGTTTGTTCGGTTAAGTTAAACGAACGAAAATGAACAAGCCTCTGTTCGTGTTCATTCATTTCGTTTACAGCCCTAATGGTGATGGACGGTGATAGAGAACCGACGGCAATAGGGTCATGAGGTATTTGAATGACTTAAGAGTTTAGAAACGATAAAATTGATTTAGTTTTTTTTTTTCTTTTAAAATCTTTTTAGTCGATTATATTATAGGTTTCTATTTTGAGTTAAAAAGGTGTAGGTTATCAAATTTTAAAAATTCAATAATTAATTCATCAAAGATGTGTTTAGGGAATTTATTGGTTTTTTTTGGAATGTTTCCAACAATATTAAAATATTTGATGCAATTTATCGATTCTTAAGAACCAAAACTGCCGAGAAGGCTCATTTGCACGTCGACATGTGTTTATGGAGGAAAGGCAACGGTAGATGCTGTAGAAGTGTAAATAGAACAGGGAGATGACTCCAGTGAGAGAGTCCTCCACACTTTCTCCAGACCCCTAAAATCGTTGATTCAGATTTCGAACCCTAGTTGTTATATTTCTGATTATTCTATATCTAAGTTGGGTTGATTTCGTTGTTAGTTACTGCAATTTTTTAGTCTCGGAAGTTCAGCATCATGGACATCGAACAAAAGCAAGAAGAACTCATCGAGCACTTCGTTAATCAAGCATCTACCTTTCAGGGTTCATCTCTCGCCACCGTCATCATTGCAGCCACTTCACATCCTTCACTCTTTGCGTTCTCCGAGATTCTTTCCGTACCTAACGTTATTGAGGTGCGATTAGTAGCACCATTTTAATGATTACGGATATGCTTACTTCTGCTAATAATTTGATATTAATTTAGTTCTCTACTTGATTGATCATGTTTGAATATAATTAGTTTTTGTTTTGCATAACTGTACTGAAGTTGCATGAAAATGATCTAATTTTAGGGTTACGGAGTAGCATTTATGTTTTGATGATACTGGGTGGGTTTTTGCTAGAGTCTCTAGCACACCCCTCAAACTGTGAACTGGCAGTTGATAGAATCATAGGTAACTTATGCATCTATAATGTTTGAAGAAGCAAATTGATGAAGCAGACTGACAGACTAGAAAGAAGACTGCTTTCTTGAAAACAATTCTCTCTTGTCACACGTACACACACAGAAGAAATTGACATAGAGGGTGCAAAATGAGCTAGACCGACCGGAAGTCGGTGATTGTTTCCTACTACACAAGTGATGATAGACAACGTTTACTGTCGGTTGTCGCTTTTGATCTTTGAGTAGGCAATTTTTGATACTTTTGAGCATGTAAATTTAGGTGGAACTTGAAACTTGGGACTTCTTACTTTTTGTTAATGTGTCTTTGACAATGATTCTTTTTGTTCAGTATTAAGATATTCTACCCGAGTAGCTTTCTGCTATAGTATTTCAGTATTTCCAATAGCACACACTGCTACTGTACTAAAACTATATTTTTCTTGCAGCATAAGTATAGGACGTAATGCAACTAATGGTCAAATGCATCTCTCCAGATGTTCTACATCTGGAAAAGATGGATAAATTAGTAAGAGATGAATGCTTGTTTGGCATTGATGGTATTTAGCAGATCTATCTTTTAGTAGCGTGTTTTGTTGTAGGTTGATATGAACGACTGTGCTTATGAGAATACGAGATCTCATTTTGATAATGTTTACAATGACTCCCTCACCCACAGACATTTGTAGTTGGAGAAACAATCTGGTTTCGGGAACTTTGCATTATTTTATCATGAGCACAAACTATTAGTGGTTGATTGTGTTACCTGTATGGTCGTCTCTTATCTGTAGCACTGTCACTCCAAGAGGCAATATATCATTATGTGGGCGGTGAATAAGCAGTTATGACAACATTGTTAGCCTTTCAAATCTCTCTTTCTGGTATATGTGGATGATTCAGTAAACAATATCCCATAACATCATAGACCAGATTGCTGTCTTTAGAGCATAATCATTTGCAATTTTGTTATATATGATATGCTTCAATTTTTTCATGATTCCTTTTCTGGCTTTGTGCCTGTGTTACGTATTTTCCTATATTGTAGTTTGTTTATAGTTTATCAAATGTCATATCGTTACCATAACCCTGAAATTTACTGTCTTTCTTAGACCATAGACCCACTGTGCAATAGCTTGGAAAGAATATAAGTGGATTAGCTGTGTCAATGCTATCACCAAGTTCTTTAGGATGACTGATGCAAGTATGTTGATATTCTTTCATATCTCATGTTCTTATATTATGCAGCTTCAAGGCACAGAGCATTCCATTTACCTTGATTTGCTTCGGATGTTTGCTCATGGAACATGGAGTGAATATAAGAGTAGGTTTCTCACCTGCTAATTGTTTTTGAGTTTTGTTATATATTTTATTATTTGGCTTGGCGTGTAAAATAGTTTGATATCGATCATTTGCATCCACCTTACATTTCAATTTAAGGGTAATCTTCTTCACATCTCTTGTATTACACATTCTTTGTGCAGTTACATTTTTCGTTCTTGTATATCGTCTTGCTTTTAGTTTATCTTCCTAGTTGTTATTCTACATCACTTTGTTGTGTTGTTATCATGAGGCATTTGTAAATTATTGTACTAAGCACCTCCCTTTTTTGCCTTTTGGGGATTTGATTATATCTTTTTCCCCCTTTCTTCTCTGAAATTCATGTTATATCCTACAAGTCTCGCCTTAGGGAAGTCTGTCATATACTACTTCTTTTGGCACCTTTCACATTTTGGAAATTATATGCCGGCAATTGCATCCAAAAGATTTCAGCTTCTCATGAGGAGCCACGAACTGGTCAGAAAACTTCAAGCATTTGAACATATCTTACATGCAAAACTACATATGTGGAATGCATGTTTAGGTGCATTTTTCATATGGAGGTTACATTGTCAGACTATCATGGTCTCGTTGATGCCTTATGTTTACTTCTGTACCACTGGATTTCTCACTTTGATACATTATCTGATGGAATAAAGTTTTCTTATGTGTATGATATGTAGGTAGTGCCAGTATTCTTCCACCATTTGCGCCTGATCAGGTCCTCAAGTTAAAACAACTTACTGTGCTCACACTAGCTGAGACAAACAAGGTATTTATTCCTTGTAATTAGTCTTGTACCAGTGACAGCAGTGAATTCACAAGTTTGAAACAATGTAATTACATTATTGCTGTCATGGTCCAAATTAGGGGTTTTTTGTTTCAATACCAAAGCAAGTATGAATCGAATCATAATATGCTGATCTTATGATTAATGTAATACATAAATGATGTATTTATGAAGTTAATATAATTACGATGCAATAATTATTGAGTAATTGTAATTATAGGAAGTATGACAATTTAATCGATGTGAGATTAATATATTACCGTTTTGTCCATGTAAGATTAGAATGTATTAATACATGCAATAGAAACATGCAAGGGTTTAAAAAAATGAATCAGGCCTCTAGGCGTTTTCCCTTGGCTAGGCGAGGCGAGGCAAGGCAAGGCAAGGCGTAAGCCTTGAGGCGGAAAAAAAAAAAATATAATACAGTATTTATACAATATATATACTAAATACGTACAAATAGTACAATACAATATATATAATATACTACTATATATATAGCACAAGATTTTAGACATATATATATAATACAATATTTATATATATACTAAATATATACAAATAGTAAAATACAATATATATACTACTAGATATTCAAGCACAACAAGAACAGTGTCAAGGACACCGATATATATTATATATACACAAGTATAGGACAATCTTTTCCACTGAAAAAGGACGCTTTTTACTGTAGAAACAGCTGGCCCTTTGGGTCTATGAATAAAAAAAGTACAAATTTTAGGTTGCCAGTCCTTTCTCTAGAAAAGAACTAACCATATAAACAATAAGAATAGGCCTTCGCCTCACCACCGCTCACCGACTAAATACGCCCCCTGCCTGAGAAGTACGTTTTATTCAAATCAATTCTCATGTTCGGAACCCCATTGCCTTGACTTGAGGCGTATGCCTTGAACGATTTTGAAAACAATGGAAACATGTATTATTCAAGTAGGTGATGAAAATAAAAAGAAGCTCCGATTGAACTGAGAGGATTAGGTGATTACAATGATGTAATCAGTTTTTTGGCTAGATCACAGGAAATGCATTAGGTTCAACAAAAATATGGAACGGTTACAGTTGTTAAAATCTTGAATGATCACCACATTTAAGGACGGTGATGTATAAAAAATGTACTCTCCAATGACAAAAGACATTTGGAGAAGTAAGATAAATCGTTCCGAGGTACAAGTTAGATTATGATTTTTATGTCATAATGCATATAAAAATGGAAGATTGCAACAATGAATTGAGATTTGGTCAAGGATAATGTATCATAAGATACAAATAGAAAACACGATATTATGTAAATATCAAATTGTTAATTAAAAGGGATTCGGTGACATGTTATGTTTTTAAATATTATATTTGAGGTGGTAATGTCAGTGAAAAACATGCTTCACATGTATATGTGTATATATATAAGAAAATTCTATTTCTATTATTTGTTCCTGCCAACTTAAAACATAACACACAATCATGAGAAGAGAGAGAAAGGGAAGAACTTGAGATGAAGAAAAAAGGAAAGGAAGATCAAGAGAAACCTATACGAGTATAGTACGGAAACTGAAAACAGGGCTTAGGGTTGTGATCTTCTTGAGTGGAGAAGTCTTTGGTAGCTTTGCACGTGTGTTTTGGTGATTGTTCGCATAATTGTGAAAAGCGCGCCTAGGCGTTGAGGTGCATAAGGCGCAAGCTTGTGGGCTTTTTACATGTCAAGGGAGGTGTATTGATGAGGCGCACTGAGGCGCTGGGCCTAGGGCCTAGGCGCGACTTATAAAGATTTCCATAAAACCAGTCAAACAAACTCTAATATAGAATAACTTTCTTATCTCTTAGACTTCTACAATAAAGAGAGTTATTAAATAAGTCAAACCCTAATATTAATCAAGTCATATAACCTCCTAGACTTCTACAAGAAAGAGTTATTAGATAAGTCCTAACATTAAATAAGTCTTCAATTCTCATACCCTAGAACCCAGGGCTTTAAACCCTTCTCTCTTCTCTCTTATGGTTTCTACATTGGAGGCTTGTACGTGTTGCATTATAGGCTTATACTATTCAAGACATTATTAAGATATGTTCAATATTATTACTTTTTGGAAATTGAAATTGAACTGTTCTATAGAATGCTATTGGAGTTGTGTATAGCTATGTGTACATGTATATATATACTTTTTTTTTGTTAAGATACGCCTTGCATTTCTGAGGCTCGCGACTCACGCCTACACCTTGTGCCTACGGGATACGCCCCAGGGACCCTTTCCGCCTAAGTGTGCCTTGAGCTTTTAACACCTTTGATTGTTTGGAGAATCTCGATAAGGTGATTATACGTATTTTAAACCGATATGAAAATGATCTTATAGCCATACCATAATCCCACATGCATTCATATGGATAAGGTTATGTGTAGTTCATTCTTTCGGATATGAAACAATGATGATCAGTGGTTTACGACCGCAAACCAATTCATTTGAGTTTGGAATCGTTAAAGGACAGTAGAAAAGAGGATTGACGGACCCGTAAATGCACCGAGTGGGGTTAAAATAGCAGGGTCATGATGTCGGTCTGTGTTATCAAACTAGGGATATCGAAAATTACTGGATAGCAAGCACACGTTACAGATGGTCGCATTTATATGTTTGAATGATAAATGCATGTTGAACTTTTTTATGTGAATGGCATTGATTTGGTTTTAGTGAAAATTGCAAGTCGTATAATCACCCAACAATCTTTTTGATTGAAAATGTATTCATATATCTCAAGTTGAGGAAATGAACTCATATTGAGCATTGAGATATTATGGAGCTTAAGGCCACACGCTAGGTTAAACATCGGCACACGAATGTCGATGGAATTATATTATGATATTTTAAGAAGGTTTCGCTATAATGTTATATATTTTGAAACGTCCATGGTATGACTTTGTTGTATTTTGAAATATTTGAAACGAAAATTGCTTCTTCTACTTAATACCAATATGCTGCAAAAGTTTTTGGTATTGTGACACCTATTGTTGTAGGGGTGTTGCATTTTTCGGTATTAGAGTTGTTTTTGAGGGATATCATTGTAAATATCCTAAACACAAACAATTCAAGTCAATGCATCAAAATTAGAACAAAATGTGAGACACTTGTATACATCGGGTATCGAGGTATTAGGCATTGTTAAAATATAGTTAGTAAGTCTTTTAATTGGGTAGGCTTGGAACTAGCAAATGAGGAAAAAACTCGAGAGAATAGTTGAGTTGCAGAATTTTAGGATGTTCGCTTAAGATCCATGGATGCAACATAAACATTTCCCTGGATTGTCACGACCATGCATGAATTTAGGCATAAATTGGCTTGACCGTTCTATGTATAAAACATGCCGAAATGACATGATTTGATCCCTAATGCGTTGTACAACAATAAGATGCTAAACCTAATGCTACAAAAGCTTAAATAAGAAGTAAATATGGTCAAGAAGTACCGTATATTGGGGCATAATAAAGGTTCAAAATGGCGTGAGGTGTGGCGGCGAGCTCAAGCACGCCATGGTGAGGACACGACATTTTTCAAGGCGTGACATAAGGCGGCAAATTTGTGTAAAATCTAAAGATAAAAGTATAAGAACACAAAAGTTAAAAAAAGAGAGAATTAATTAATAAGGAAAAATATTGAAAAAAAGTCATGCCTTGAAAAACGTGCATTGTGGCATGCCATGGCGCGTCTTAAGGTTCCATGGCTTGAGGCATGCCTTACACAAACACTACATATCTCATGGTAACAACGATGACGTGTCTTATTCCATGACGTGTCTTATTCCATGACGTGTGTCTTGGCGTGCCTTTTTGAACACTAGGCATGATGTAAGAGGAAGTATATGGGTACACATGGAAACTCATCCATTTGAGGTTTTGATGCCTCAAAAGGTTTTTAATGTTTTATTGAATTGCATAAATTCCAAAGTTGTCATACACAGTTGCGATTAAGTATCTTGATCATAATGTTGTGATCTTGAATGATAAGCATGAATGGACATGCGAGGCAATGAGGATAGCAAGAAGTTCAAGAGTTTTCAAGGATGACGAAGAGTTGCTAATAAACCTAAAGATGGTCGTCAATTGTTGAAGAACCAAGCTCCAGGCTTAAACAATCCTTGGGAGTGAGGTTTGAAAGGCTCCCAAACTTTGTTAAAAGGATATAACTGATGACAATCTGACCATACTCTGAGATCACCCAAAGACCGAATCTCCTTTTTGATCTTCTACTTGGATGATATCATCGCAACTAGAGATGATGATAGAAGAGATGAGATAGAAGTTGAAGAAGAGTTAGGTCAAAGAATTTGAAATTTAAGACGTAGACCAACTAAGGTACTTTCTTGGGATAAAAGTGGCAATTTCAAAAAGAGGTATTATGGTTTCACATCGAAAATATATTCTTGATCTCTTGAAACAAGTTGGAATAAGTTGTCGCAAACTGTTGAACACTCCAATAGCGACTAAGTCCATGCTTGGGGAAACAAAAGATGGAACTTCGGTTGGTACCAACGGCTAATTGGAACGTTGATTCATTTAACACATACACGTCCTTATACTCCTTCTGGCATAAGTATGGTAAGCCTATTTATGTTCTTCCCAAGAGAACACGTTATAGATGTATATAAAATCCTTTTAGTATCTAAAACATACTCTTCTCCTCAAGGAAAATGAGAAGAGAGGGATTTAAATGTATACAAATGCAGATTGGGGGAGGTTCGATAACTAATAGGTCAACTTCTGGGTGTTACATCTTTCTTTGGGGCAACTTGTTTCCTTGGAGAAGTAAGAAGTGAAGTGTAGTTGCAAGCAATGATGAGGCAGAGTTCAAATCAATGTATTAGGGTATATGTGAAGTTCTTTGGCTAAACAGAGTTCTGATGGATCTTAAACAACAAAAGATCTTCCAATGGAACTATAACAAAGTAACCATTTGCACAATCCAGTTTAACATGATCAAACAACATGTGTTGGGATTGGTAGATACTTTAGGAGAAGATGGAGGAGGGGACAATTTTACTTCATTTGTACGTGCAACACAACAAATTGTGATGTACGGAGACGGGGTGTTGTACAGATGGTTTAAGTAAACTTTGATCATAAAACTGAAGCATTACTTAGATGGTTTGGTCATATCCAACATAGATTGTTGAATGTGTTGATAAGAAGGGTGATGGTAGATTGGTGTCTAGGGTAAGGCGTAGAATAGAGAGGTCAAGGAAGATCAAGATCAACATGTGGGGAATTGGTCAAGGGAGATATGTAGGATTGAGTGGCATATAAGTAGGAAGCTTGGAAAGACCCTATTGATGCTTTTGAGTCTTGATTAGCTCTTGTACTTCTTAAAATTCTATGGGTATGATTTCAGCCTACCTAAACTAGCTTGTCATGACATGTTTTTCCTTTTCAAATCTTTGGAGGCTAAATAAATTATTATCTTTTTCTTTTTAGTGCCAGGTTGCTTTCGTATGTTCTTGGCTTTTATTTTCTAGTTCATGGGTCTTTTTCAGGTACTCCCGTATGATGTGCTAATGCAGGAATTGGATGTTGTAAATGTCCGTGAGCTTGAAGATTTTCTGATCAATGAATGCATGTATGTGGTATGTACTTTCCATGACTATAATCACATCGAGTCATATTGTCTTCTTGAGTGAATAACCTGTCAGTAGTTTTAATCAAGCTTATTACGTGTTTGAAGGTTTATCTTCCTCTAGGACTTATTTATTCTGCATGTAATATTTCAAGCCTCTCTCTCTCTCATACATGATTTTATAAAAAGGGAGTTGCTAACTTTGTATTTTACTTGTTTCACATTTGGATAGGGTATTGTTAGGGGCAAGCTGGACCAATTTCGAAGATGTTTTCAGGTGACATTATATCTATCTTGTATAGTTCACTTTTGGTTATTTCTCAACGAGTTATTTTTCTTTATCATTAAAATAAAATACATTTTTGCCCTTGTTCTTTTTTCATGTTCTCCATTTTGGTCCCTATAGTTTTTCTATTGTGGTTTGCATTTTCTCTGCTGTTTAATTCTCTATAATCAATATACATGCGCATGTATTATCTTTCTCTTTCACTAGCACCACACAGATGAGTAAGGGTTGGTGCTATGTCGGATGGTCCCATCATTCAACAATTCTCACACCATTTTCTCTATGACATCTTTCTGCGTTGGTGAATTCTTGTATGTCATAACATTGATAGGTTTGTGTCCTTTAACCGAATCCTTGAACTCATTTAGTAATTGCAACAACTCCTAAGTGCCATGTGTGGTCTGCAGAGGGAGCTCATCAAACATAGGTTTAATTTGAGCCGTATATGTAGGGGATCCATGTTGTATCCTATTTTATATTTTACCTTCAGAAATTACCTTAACAGAGAGGTGATCCCATGCAAATGGTAGTAATCATCTCCGTGTTTAGACGACATGCTTAACTCCTTGAAGTTCCAAGTGATATGCCCTTGAGTTGCCAGCCATTGAACACTTGAAGCCGTCTCACAACCCCCAATAGGCTATACTTGCATTTTCCGCTGAAATTGCTCAGACAGGTTGTTGCATACCATTTCTTGACCATTCGCCACCATAATGCATACCGGGTTAATCAACTTAAGCGGACAACCGAGTCTTTTGATCACTGCATATCCACAAAGTTGTTTATATTGCCTTGAGTCAATGAGGTTATGAATTGGGTTCTTATATTTGCCTATTACCCTTGTTGTCTGATGTATTGATCTAGAGAGTCCCCTCATAAGCATTTAAAGAAATGGTAGGTCCTTTGTCCCATATTCTTCAACACAATTGAAAAACTCCATAGAGACCTTCTATGGAAGTCCTGCATCACAATCGAACTTGCATTGATGGTCTGGGAAAAAACTTCTCATCTTACCATAAACATAAGTTTTTAGCTCTCTTTTCATTTATCTCAGCATCTGACGACCTTCTGGTTTTAGGCTGGAATGTTTTGGGTCTAAAGTAGGCTGGATTCGAGTTGACGCAGGTGGTGTAGTAAGTAGTGGAGATTAGGTCTAAATTGGAGGTTTTTGGGTTGATGCAAGAATAAAATTCATGGGTTTATTATAGCTGGCTTTGAAGTTTTGGTGGCATTATGGTAAGATTCCTGCAGTGATTTTGGGCCAAACATGCACAGAGGAATTATAGTTTTGTCTTCCAAACCACTTAAAAAACAACTTAATGCATACTCCTCGGATAATGTCACCTTATGTGGCAGCACATCAAATTTTTTAAGGTAGTCTTGTAAGGATCCATATAGAATGAGTCCTTTGAGGTCTGCCATAGGGTCTTTATAAACTCTTTCTCCAAACCTCCCCTTGATTGCCTCAACGTAATCTTCCAATGAAGGTTCATCTGCTACACCCGTTTTCTTAAGAAAAGATTGATGCTATTTGTCTTCCATATGAATTAAAACAAGCTAGATTTTAGCATTGTTTGGTGTGAAATCGATTAGAAAAATTCGTTCACAACAAAATAGCTACCACCATCAAACTTGTGTAGTTCGATTTTATTGAGTCTTGAGGCTTGTCGGTCCCCAGTTCCACGAGGTCGGTTTAAGTTCACGAATGGAGCAACTATTAGAGGTGTTTGGTTACCTCATGAGTGAGAAGAAAAAAATGGGGCATTTGCTAGAGGCTTCCGGTTACCCGGTTGTCGAGAAATAACCGGGCTTTGAATTCCTTTAGTTCATTGAGCTTTGAGCATTTCATTTTGTTGAGTGGTTGTAATCTTCATCAAATATCTACTCCTGTTTTTAACTTAACTGTTCGCGGAACATGTTTTTCACTATTAACTGTTCTTGAACATGTTTTTCACTATTAACTGTTCTTGAACATGTTTTTTGTAACATCCCGTTCCTGGGGGTATCGTCCTTTGCCCTTAGTACAAGTGTATGAAAGAAACTTCATATCTTAAACTTTTCTTTCATTATAATAGAGTTATTACAAATGTGGAAATTTACAACTTATAATATTCTAACATCTTAGAATAGCAACACTTCAGCTTGTTCCTACTCCTTGATTCCTGAGATACATACATGAATACGTAAGCTTTAAGCTTAGTGAGTAGTTATAGTTTCATGATAAAACAATCTTTCCAAATAGTTAACATGATTCTTATAAACTTTCATGTATAAGAACATTTCTTTGAGATCTCATGGTCACATGTTAAGTAAACCAACTTCTCACAGGTTCTTTAACCTCTGGTCCACATAAGGGCTGCCCAATAAGATCTGTTTGCAAGACGTACCTTCTTTCTATATCCCGTACATTGGATATTTAAATGGTTATACTTAACATGTATAAAAACTTTCATATACCACAGTGTGCATCATGACATAAAAGGTGTACTTTGCCACATAATCATAACATAACTTTTACAAGAAGATATGGCAATACTCTTTCATGCATAAAACATTCATTTATATATATATATATATATATATATATAGCATGTATGTATCTCAATAAATCTCATAACGTACTCATCTTGATTATGCCTAGCTTTTCCCTTAATTCCTATCTTCAAGCTTGATTAGGTTTAAAGAGAGAGATTTCTTATTTTTGGTATGAAACTAATGGTAACACTTCAATCACTATTTATAGGTAAATTCATTGCATTAGCTACATATTCTACTTGCTCCCAAAATTGTACTCTTACGATAACCTCATTTTTGAGGATAAGAGAATCTTGACACCTCATGCTTAATATAAAAGAATCTTGACACCTCATGCTTCTAGCTTTTATTTGTCCCGCTTCTAGCTCTTGCTTGTCATCATGAATTTTGCCAACACATGCTTCTAGCGTTGACAACTCATAACTAGCTTGCTTTGTCATAAAGAGTAGGCTTGCTTTCTCATAAGATTTTTGTGGCTCATGTTGTTTGTTTATAAGTAGCTTTGTAAGCTACTTGTAAGCTACTTGCCTTATAAATATGATAGTTAATAAATGCTACAACTGTTGGACTCTTTTAAGAGTACTTACTTTACTTACAAAATCTTGTATTTAAGGCTTAAACATTGAGATTTAGCAAATAAAGAAACTAGGGTGTTACAATTCTCCCTTTCTTATAAGAATTTCGTCCTCGAAATTTTACTCAAGGATGTGGGTACTTATTCCTCATTTCTGACTCGGCTTCCTATGTTGTCTCTGATCCATGAGAATTGTCCCAATGAACAAATACCAATGATACCTCTTTGTTTCGAAGTTTTTTTTAATTTTATGCTCAGTGTTAACTATGGGTTCTTCTACGAATTTAAGTTTATCATGAACCGAGATTTCTTCAACCTCGTTTCCATAACATCAAATAAGTCACCAACTAGAGATTGATTGCTCTGACCAAACGATACATGAAAGAGTAAGAAAAATTACATAAAAGGAAGGAGAAGAAGAATCACAGAGAAAGGAGTTGTTCTCTTGTGGAGATAATATTTCATTCACCATATCAGAATAGTATCAGGGAAATTAGATACAAATGTATATTACAGAATAAAAGTTGTGATCGAACCCACATATGCCTCTTATTTATATCCACTAACAAAACGACCTCAAATATGCTAAAACAACACTCAATTTCTCTTGTATCATTCTATTTACAAATTGAGATGAGGGGATAGGGTTTTTTATATAGCTATGGAACGAGATGGATAGTACGACTACCATGAACTCCTCGTTTTCATCGGGTGCTCAGAAGGTAACCATCGTAAACTCCCAACTGCTGTTTTCATTGGACTGTTTTTGGGTCACTGGAATTGCAGACGGAGTTGTGAAGAAGGGAGCGGCCAGAGTTGGTCTCACTGAACATTTTCATGAAGTTCTGGTTGAATACAATGATGATGAAATCCAGATTTTGAAGTGTGTATATATGATACATATGTATATATATAATAAATATAATATAAAAATAATATAATTAGGTCATATATAAAATGATATAGTATAATATTTTTTTTTTCAAAATTTTTAAAGGAAAATTATGGAAATGGGTAAAAAAGCATCACTGCCCCTTACTTAACGGATATAACTTATAAGTTATCAGCTGTTTGGGAGGGGGACCAAATCTGAGCGAAATTGTACAACACGATGGCGAATCTGTGATAAAACCTCTAGGGACCCAAACCGGGAATATCGTAATAAAGCAGGAACAAAAATGTAATTTATTCTTTTCATCATCTTAATCATTATTGTACAGTCTAATCCTCCAGATTGTTGTAGGTGCAATTTGCGGCAGGGAGGGATCTAAGGCCTGGACAATTGGGGAGCATGATACACACATTATCAAACTGGTAAGCCTAGAATTGTTTTCTGACTGTTCTTTCTGCATTTGGTACTCACTTCACCCTGCCCTTTTATTTGTGCTGAAACCTTGTTCATGGCGTTAAATTTACTTCAAGAGCAGAGCATCTAGTTACTCTTTTAAACTAAGAAGAATTTAGAGGCTATGAACCAAAGACTCATGCCTGAATTTGAGATCATGTGATACGTGTACTGGAATTTTACTCTATCTTTGTTCTGTTATTAGATTCCAATGTTTGTGATGATGGCCATGGAACAAGGTCATAGACCGGTTACTTATACTTCAGCTCGTCGTTTATTAGTATGATTTCAGAGCTTGTGGTTTTTTTTTTCCCGACACAATACACTAGCAGGGTTTCCTGTTAAGGCACATACACCTTAGCAATGAGTTGAGATATTGGTTCGGAGGAACAATTTTTCTGTGAACTTCCTACAATCTGATAGACTTCAGAGTATAAAGACATATTCGAGAAGGAAAGAGAGGAGGGCAGATTAATAAGATAAAGATAAAGCAAGCCTTGGATAAGTCATAAGTCCTCAAGTTTACATATAACTATCTTATGTTTATCTTAATTGTTTTATTTGTTTTTCTTTAGGATCCGTGTTATTGTAGGAGTCTTTTACTTATTAGTTTAAATACCTTCATTGTTTACCTTTTTGGAATATAGATCAATTTATTATAATTCAATTCTCTACAATTGAATAGGTTGAGACTACAGCCTCTCTAAAGCTGTAGGGTTTTAATTCTCTAATCTTGGCAACCTTTTTTATCGACTCTTATCAAATTGGTATCATAGCCTACCGCAACCGTTCTGGATTAGTAATCGTGTTACTATCCACGAATTACTGTTCACGATCACTGTTCATTATTCACGAATCATTGTTCATGAATCACTGTTCACGATCACTGTTAACGATTACTATTCACGCGATAATAACTTGATCAACAACATTGAGGATGGACGAGGTGGAGGGAAGCTTGGGAACGGTCCAAGCGGAGGTGAACTCGCTGAAGGACGACATGCAGAAAGTGATCAAACAAATGGAAACAATGTTGATATTGCAAGAAGAAGCGTATAGGAGAACGGAGAAGAGTGGGGGAGAGGATGAAAGCGAAGACAATAGACAACCAAAAAGGCGGACTATCGCGTAGACAAAAACTACGATACTGGTCGGTTTCTTGCGATAAGGGGGAGGAAACTAGAGTTACCTGTGTTCGAAGGGACAAACCCAGACCGTTGGATATTGAGGGCTGAAAGGTATTTCGCTCTTAATAAACTAACCAATGAAGAAAAACTAGGAAGTCTCGATCATTGCTTTTGAGGGTGACGCCTTGCTGTGGTTCCAGTGGGAGAATAAGAGGAGACCCATTAGGCTATGAGAAGAATTGAAAACATTATCGCTTCATTAGTTTAGACCAGCGGGAGAGGGATCTTTATGTGAGCAATTCTTGGTCGTTAAGCAAGACGGCACAGTGGCAGAATACAAAAGGTTTGTTATGTTGGCAGCCCCGTTAGAAAGGATTCCGGATGAAGTTTCCGTTAAGTTCAATTCTTAAATGATTTGAGTCCACAAATCAGGGCTGAAGTCCGCACCCTCGTACTGGTGGGATTGGGAAAGGCCATGGAACTAGCTTAGTGGATAGAATAAAACAAACAAGATTTTAGCAAGAATAAATAACCCAAGAGGTAGCTGGTTGAACAAGTGTAATGGAGAAGGATCTGTGGGGAAGAAGGGATTTGTTTAACCCTCCAACAAGAGTAGTGGACAGAGAGGAAAATCTGTCTGGGAATTCAGAAGTTTGTCCAATCAAGACCTTCAACAACGTAGGGCTCAAGGTTTATGTTACAGGGGTGATGAGAAATATTCTTTGGGTCACCGATGCAAAAAGAAGGAGCTTAGCGTGTTGGTGGTTTAAGAGGCGGAAGAGTACAATGTCGATGAAGACGTGGAAATGGGGGAGATGACAAAATTGGCGGGGATAGAAACGGGAGAAGTGGAAGTATCATTGAATTCAATAGTGGGACTGTCAACAACGAAGACTATGAAGCTAGAAGGAGAGGTACAAGGCCAAAAGGTAGTTGTTTTAATTGACAGCGGGGCTTCCACAATTTTATAGCCACGATGTTAGTTGAGAAACTCGGGTTATCTACAAGAATCACAGAAGAATAAAGTCGACATTGCAACACAATTCTGACCAAGTTAAAGCACCAACTCTAGGGCAAAGTTGTCCCTAGTCTCCAAGGGACAACAACAGTTCATCTGCAACAGTTCAAAAAGGACGGGTATATTTTGGTTGGGACTTGGATTGCGCACCACTTTGGACTTCGAGCATTCCACTATAATTAAAGATTTTCAAAATGAGAGCATTGAATCCGCAACAAACGAATGGTTTTTGGGTACATCGGCTCCCTGTGCAATTCCCAGAGGACATTCAGACCGACATCAATTGAAGGTTGATTTTGGTTGGAAGCATAAAGAGTGTCGGCTTTGAAAGGGATTATCATCCCAATCGACATTGAAAGTTTTTGGTTTGTCTAGAAGAGGCTACAACGAAGGGCATACTAGTGGCTTATGTTTCTGAACTAATGTTGGTGGGAATCAAGGATTCAAGTTTGATGGGTTTCAAGATGAACCGAAAGGATTTACAGCTATGCTGTTACAACGTCAAAATTTGAAATAGCGGTCAGGACCGTGATTTGATATAGCGGTTATCGCGATGGTAAACCGGTGGTATAACGGTCCACATATAGCGGTTCATGTAATCGTTACAATCATATATAAATGTATGAATAGATGCATAACATAATATATATTTTAAAGTTGAGCATAAGAACAGGTGAATAGAAGAGATGAACAATCAATATTGGAAGACAATGTTGTTGTGAAGAGAAGATGCAAACCATAGACTAGAATAGAAGAGATGAGAGAGGAATAGCAAGTTTACACACCAATATTGCAAATGAAAATCAGCCCCCTAGCTCGTAATCCCTTAATTGACTTCTCTAAACCTTTTAAAAGGCCAACTTAAAGCCCAACTCCTAATTGCGGTTTTAACACCTCTATTCCAAGTCAAAATTGCGGCCCAATAGCGGTGATTAGAGCGCTATTAGTGGAACCGCTATTTTCCACCATTATTTGATCTAGGACCGCTAACCGCTATAGCACTTCTATTTCACCGCAATTAACAGCATAGATTTACTGTCTTTGGAAGCGTATGGCAGAGCTCTTGGATTGGGGCAACAACAATTCTTTTTGTTTCTCTTACGTTCACTAAGAACCCGCACTGCCACTATTATCACGACCACCAGTAGTCATTGATGTAAACTATTGGCATCAATTTCTTTTGATTTTTTGCCACCTTGAGGACAAGGTGGAACTTTGGGAGGTGGGTATTGATATACCCCCGGAGGGATGCTATTAGTTACGTGGGCTAGGAGTAAACGAGTAGGATGGGTAGTTGTTCTAATAAGGATGTAATCATAGCAGTGAATAGGGGCAGGGGCAATTTCGGAATTGATAGTATTCTTTACAAGGGGTAAGAAAGGAAAAGTAGCAGGAGTAATTGGTTAAATAGGTGTGAGGGGTTTTGGGGAGGGCATCTGATTTGTAAACACTGTTTTGGCATGAGCATCGGGAGACCCCAACTTCTCGAATTGTTGGAAGCTATTAATCCTTCAGTTGCAATATCAATTTCATTCTGTTTTCATGTTAGTGTGTATCAACCTCCTCCTATACGTATGTTCTATGTTATTCTCACACTTTTCACAAGCCTAAGCTCTTGATGGAAACAGCCGCTCTACTCCTTGGGGTAGAGGTCAGGTCGGTATGCATCTTGCCCTCCCCAAAACCCACCTCCAGAGTGGGATATACCGGGTTGGTTTGGTTTGGTATAGTTTGGTTTTACTAGTACTTCTTTGACATGTTTTGCGAATTCCATAGGTTAAGTACATCAGATAATTTACTTATCTCGATTCAAGAGAAGATTAAATGGGCCGACACCATGAGTGATCTGGACAAGAAGCATAAAAAAGAAGCTGATGAAAGGATGGAAGAAGTGAAAAAGGCACTCTCCCTCAAGGTCAGTTGAGTTTTATTTTTACATTGTTTTTGTTTCTTGTTTGTGTGTGTAACATGTACCTTTCATCTTTTAGGGTCATATTTGCATGTGTATTCATGTTTTCTTTTGGTTTCAAGATTCTTCTTCTTTTATGTGAGAACAAATGAAGACGTGATTGTGGTTCCCATTTATGTGATTCGAGAACCGAGATTAGACCCATAACATAGGGAGCATTGAGATTAATGATGAAATAAATACTCTTTAGAGCGCTTGCCAATTCAGGGTTCAGCAACTTTGAGTCTACGAAATTTGTGGAAAATTTCTAGTAAAAACAAATTTTGTACAAGATGACATTTTATGTAGGCATGGGAATGGGACGGAGATGTTAGGTCAAACGTTACATACGTAATACGCACAACCCAAAAACAAGAGAAGAACACAATAATTTACGTGGTTCACACGATCAGATTGATCGTGCTAGTCCATGGGGGCAACTAGGGTTTTCTTTATTTAGGTGCTACAATGTTTACAAGTACAATGAGATTAATATATATAGACAAACATAATT